GGCCCGGGCGGCAGGCTAGGAGGCTGGAGGCACCGGGGCAGGAGCCCAGGGGAGCCCCGAGGAGGGGCAGGACCGGCACACACGCCTGGCTCCGGCAGCACCATGCATCGCTCCCAGAGCAGGGGCAGCCCCCCGAACCCCTCAAGACAACACGGGGGTCAGTCCTGGTGCACCGTCCACAGCTCCCAGCGAGGAGCCGAGGGATGCAGTAAACCCCAGTGCTGTGGGGCACCGCCGCTGGCCAGGGATCCTGGGGACATCAGGGACAGGGGTGGCCCAGGGTGAGCTCCCAGGCAGGCAGGGAGGTTTGGCGGTGCCAGTGCTCCACTGACGGGAATCAGGCTGCGCTCAGGGCAGCAGATGTCCAGATGGCAAAGTCAGCCCTGCCGCAGGGCACCGGGCAGGATCAGCCCTTCCCCGTGAGCCCAAGTTTCTGCGCAGTGGCTGGCAGGAGCCTGAAGCCCGGTGTCCCCAGGATGGTGTCGCAGGGCCACCACCGTCCAGCTCCGCTGGGGCCAGGCCCCCCTTCGCCTGGCTCATCGCAGGGTCTCTGCAAACAAGGAGGGCTCGATGGCACCGGCAGCAGCCACCCCCCGCCCCGTAGCACAGCCCCCATCCCCGGCATCAGGAACCTTGGTCGGCTTTGTCCCCCTTGGTCTTGGGCTCCTGCCACCACTCTGCATAGAAGCCCTCCTCATAGTCGCCTTCGCCCTCGAACTCGCCGTCGGAGGGCAGGTCCCACGCCTCCGGCCCCTCGCCGTCGTCCACCTCCATCTGCAGCATGGGATGAGCAGGAGGCAGCGGGGCTCGGTGGCCCTGTCCACAGCCCGTCCCCGACCTACAGCCTCTTCTCCAGGGCTGGTTTGAGGGTCAGACCCCCTGTCCGAGGAAGGGCCCTGCCCCGGGGTATCCACGGCACCCACCTGCACCACCCCAGCACCCACAAAAGCACCCGGCTGCACCCCGCGCCGGGGCCGTCCTTTACCTCATCGTCAGCCTGCAGGTACTGCCTGGCGAAGTCCAGCATCTTCTTCTGGGCGGCTGTCCGGTTGTGGTAGCGCACGGCTTCCTGGGCACGGGAAGGGAGTGGGGGCTGCGTCAGCCCCGCCGCCGCCGGCAGAGCCATGGGACAGGGGGCTGGGGAGTCCTCACCGGCCGGGGCTCGAAGTCCTCCTCCAGCAGGCGCCAGCGCTCGCGGTGGAAGCGGTAGTAGACCAGGTTCTGCTGCATCACGGCGTCACCCGGGTCGAAGAGCATGTAGCTGGAGACGCTGCGCACCGCGTCCCGCACGTCGTTCACTGCGGGGAGCAGTGCCGGGTGAGGTGGGGGACGACACCCCACCCAGGGGCCCGCAGCACCCTGGGGTGCCCCAGGGGCAAGGCCCCCCGCTCCCGCCGGCACTCACGCTTGTAGTAGGCGAACTGCAGGTAGTGGTACATGGTGGCCACGAACTTCTCCACGAAGTAGCCACCCACGTTGGGGGTGAGCTCGGTCTCACAGTCCACCTTGCACTGCAGCACGCTCACAAAGTGGTCTGGGGGGAGGCATCAGGCACTGCACCCCCTCGGCCCCCAGCCCCCCGCCAC